TGTTGGACATATGGGTTAATGTTAGACTTGTGGGCTTGGGCAGCACTGGGTTGGGATGTTTTCTTGATGCACATTTACCCTTTATATAAAACGCTCTCTTAGACACGAGTTTCTGTGGATTTGTTTCTCTAAGGTACCCAGACTAATACACCTTCCTTCAAAAAGGTGATCGTTCCTGCCATCATGACACCCTTCCCTCTGGCCTGCAGTGAGGCCACACAGCCGGCACCCATCATCAGGGCGTTTGTGGAGGCAGGAGGCCTGAGTGGGACCGAGGGCGGGGCCGGAATCCAGGGGAGACACGTCAGCAGCGTTCTGACTGGGTCGCTCCAGGTGGTGGGAGGAGGGGCTAGACTGGCTGACCCCATGGTCCTGGCTGTGATGTCCAGGTAGACAGGGGGCCATTCCCCAAGAAAGGGAGACAGCCAGGCGCGGCGTCCTAGTGGACACTTGCCCCTGGCACCCAGTGGGAGGTTGGGACAGCAGCTCTGCCCTCTTGGAGGTGCCTTGTCCAGGAAGGGCTGTAGCCCCTCTAGCTCGTCCTAAGGGCAGGCCCCGGATGAAGACCCTCCCTCTGCCGCTCAGACTTCTGAGTCTCCGCTGTGCCCCCCTGCAGGCACGTACCTCGGGTGCTTCAGTGACGAGGGCCAGGAGAGGACTCTGAAGGGGGCCGTGTTTTACGACTTGAGGAAGATGACGTTGTCACACTGCCAGGACGCCTGTGCCGAGCGGTGAGTGCCCGGGCTGTGTCCCTAGCCGTGGATCAGAGACCTGGCCCGGACCAAGGGGACACATGGAGAGGCTGGGCTCCCCAGCTGCCTGGGGTCAGGCTCCAGACCCACCTCAGGCCCCTCTCCCGGCAGGTCCTACTTCTATGCAGGCTTGGAGGCCGGAGCGGAGTGCTACTGTGGGAACCGGCTCCCGGCGGTGAGCGTCCGCCCAGAGGAGTGTCACCAGGAGTGCAAGGCGGAGAAGGGCTCCGTGTGCGGGGGCGTCGGCCGGCTCTCCGTGTACCGGGTGCAGGAGCTGCAGCCAGGCTCCAGGAAGCGTGAGTGTGCCCGCCCCTGCCTGCCCGTCGTCCCCGACCCACCTTCCCACTCTTCTTCCCCATCGTCCAGTCTCATTGTGCCCTCGTCCGGTCGTCACACAGACCCAGCAGGTGGGTGCTTGTGAAGGAAAGCCGAAATGATTTTCTCACTGTCTGGAGACTCCAGGTCCGAATCCAGCTCAGCCAGGTTGAGACCTTCCTTGTAGGTAGTCTCGGGGCTCCTTGGGTCCTGGGACTTCGTGTGTGTGTGTCTGTGTGTGTGTGTGTCTGTCTGTCTGTCTAGGCGGCTCTGATGGTAACACAGAAGTGATTCCGTTTAGAATGCGTTTCTTCCCAGGGGCGATGGAGTGATGGCTCAAGGTGAATCTAAGGTCGAAGGGTCAGTACACACACAAAAGGAAGACCGGGCAAGGAGAAGGATTGGCAGAGTGGCTCCGTGCACAGAGGGCTCAAACAGGGCAACGGTGGTGCAGATGGTGCAGGACCGGGCAGTGTTGGCTTCTGTTGTGCCTGTAGGGGGGCGCGTGACCACAGTATGATCCAAGGAGACCTGATCTCCAAACAGATTTCCCCATGGATACAGGGGCTAGGATTCCAGCCTATATACATTGTTTTAGAGGGGGTGGGGGACACAATTTAATCTCTAACACCCCAAAGGAGAACAACTGATAGGAGCCCCAAAGTCCAGACCTAGAATTCCACTACAGTGGGGATGTGTACACCGTGGCAATTGGAAAACACCACGAAAACAAAACTAGGCACCTCAACCTCCCTTTCTGAGTTCCTGGTCTCTGTGGATGGCAGAGGCAGACATAGATTTCTGGCACACCAGCTATTCTGGAATGTTCCTGAACTACAAAACACTTCCAGAGTGCTGCCCACAGTCTAGCAAACCCCCTTTTAAATGCTGAGTTGACCTTGGAGGAAGGTAAAAACCCCTGGGCCCAGAAGTGAAGAGGGGATTTTCTACCCTGGCGGTGAGAGTAACGACGGGCCAAGTGTGGGGCTTGGCAGAGTGGAAGTGGCTCGACGTGTTGCCACCAGGCGTAGGTTTTCATTCCCAGCAGGGCAGGAAGGGAGGCCTCGCGGGGCCTGCTCTGGGTACAGACTTTGATGAGAAACTGCATAAAGCCGGGATTCCATTTCCCTGAATTGGAAATCCGTGAACATTCTGATTTCAAAAGTATGCATGTACACCCACCACCATCCGTTTTGGGTGGAAGAAAGAAAGAAGCCTTCTCTGTTTGGACCGAGGCTTAAGGGGAGGAAGAAAAATCCATCTTGCTCGGACTTTGTACCCACTGGTTTGCATTGGCTTGGAGTTGGGGGTTCAAATGCATGCCATCTGCCTGCTCCTAGATGCTCCACCTTAGAAGGTGGCTCCAGGACATCTGGGAAGCACCTAGCAGAGACAAATGCAAACTCTCTCTTGAGATTTAGGGCCTCAGAGCCCACGTCGAGGCAGCCAACAGCAAGACCAATAGCATCCTTACCCCAACCCCCACCAAGAATTTCAGCTAAGAGGGCTACCAATCCAGGAAAGATTATAACGGAAGGACCCAACGAGATGAGCAGGACACAGGGAGGTGAGCCTCAGCGCCACTGACCCAAAGTATGAGATGCTCTCTTAGGAGACGATGCGTTTGTCAGCATGTGCACCTATTCAGGCCGCCCACTTTATGACTGGGAGGGGCGGGGGAAGAAGGAGTCACGAGTGGGCTGAGAGCCCAGCACCTCTCCTGGGGAGAGGGGAGTGGCTGATGGTAGAGGCCCCTTGACTCAGACACAACCACTCCAGGCTATGCTGGCAGGACCAAGGCTCTAGCAGAGCCCATGGATTGGTCTCAGAAGGAAGCAGCGCTCAAGGAGGAGGTGTAGGGTCTGGCGACAGGCGGGTCTGCACACAGGTTCCTAAGAGGGACCTCTTAGCAACATGTTGAGTTGGCCAGAGACCCGTAGGTGAGCGTGAAGGCCAGCATTGGCTACCGTGTACCACCAGGATCAGATAAACAGGGAGAGGGATCCAGTGGGCCGCTCTGGCCAGCTGGTGTGAAGAGGAGCTGAGGCTGCCGAGGTGCGTGTGGCATCCGACAGGCTCTCTGGGAGCCAGGGGAAACGGAGGGAGAAAAGGGACTAGGGCAGAGATGCCAACTCCTGAATTTGTAGATGAATGAATGAACTCGTCCTTCATGGATACCTACTCTGAGGTTGGCCCTGCCCTGCCTGGTTACAAAGGGTTCTTAATAGACAGCTACCTTGAGGCCAGCCTGCTGCCAGCCAACCAAGTGGCCATCGTGTGGCCCATGTGGCTCTATGTTGACTTCTGAGGTCATTTCATTTCCTGGGTTTGCACAGCATTGCCACCTCTGGCCCCTGCCCTTCCTCTAGAAGGGACACACCTGTGTGTGTCCTGCCAGCCGGTCCTGCCTGCTTCCTCACTGGTTTCTGGAGATGGCCATTGTGCCCATCTCCAATGGGTCCATGGGTTAAAGGATAGACAATGCCAGCACTCAAGCCAGCCCCAGATTTTGAGTTGGCTTGACTCAGTGTCAAGGTCGATATTGACAATATGTGGGGAGGCAGCCCATGGAGGTCTGGGAGGTTGGCCTTGGCTTTCCCACCTCCTTCGTAGGGTTTACCTGTTGGGCTGTGATACACAAAGTCATCGGTTCAAAACCACAGCCACTCTTTGGAAGGAAGACGAGAACTTTCTACTCCCATAAGGTGTTAGAGTCTGGGGAACCAGAGAGGTAGTTCTACTCTATCCTAGGGGTCGCTGTGAATTGGCACCCACTCCGTGGCAGTGAGGTGTGTTTTGTTTTCTCAAGGCAGGGAGCTGATAGGACCTCGAGAGGAGACCAGCGGATCGCTGCCCCACCCTACCCACAGCTTAAATTGTAACTGGTCACTGGGAGAATGAAAGGAGTGAGACCCGCGGTTATTTATTTATACGCCCCAGCAGTGAGTAGTGGATTGATGTCTTCCCCTTGGCGGAGTCTTTCGGCCCACAATGGGCCATGGGCTCACCCCTGGGGAGTGTGAGAGAGGGAGGGCAGTGGAGCCGATGGCACTGGGTGACAGCCTGTTTCCAGATGGTCACATCTGCAAAGCCCAGAGGCTGCTGGTGCTAGCACCTCCAGCTGCACCCACATTTTGAACGTGTTCCAGTTTCTGCAGGGCCTTCTCAACCATGATCTCATTCAGCCTGCGGATGCATTAAGCCCCGTGAGCATTCGTGATCCCGGGGGCTTCCATGGTAGAATGCTCACCATGTGGGAGAGCCAGGTGGTTGGTGTAGGCTGGCATCTTGCCACACAGGTCTCCAGGTGAGTTTCCAGAGTGGGAGGGACTCGGAAGAAAGGCCCCAGATCTGTTTCTGGAATTCAACCAATGAAAACACAACGGATCACAATGGTCTGATCCACAGCCTGTCACAGGGGTGGCAAGGATGGAGCAGTCTTTTGTTCTGTTGTGCCATGCATCTAGGGTGGGCTTGAGGGGAGCTGACATCAATACCCTTGAGTTTGTCAGGGTCGGGGCTGGGGACAGGGTGGAGGGGACCGGAGATCCCAGTGACCCCTTGCTGAACTCCCTGAGGTCTGGAACTCCCTGAGCTGTTGACCACTCTACTCTCCCCGCGCCTTGTCTGCCTGTCTATCCCTTGGTCCCTGAGGCTGTCACCCCCAGATCTATTCCATCCACGTGGGACCAGTTGAGGACTAGAGTCGTCCAGGACATCTAGATATTTGTTGTTTGGGAGCCCAATCATGTGACAGAACACAGTTTCTAAACCCGGCACTAGTAACCACTCCAGGCTTTACACTAAGAACCAGGGCAGATAATGTGCTCGGGGGAGATGGCCCTTCCTATATGCTGTAGCGAGTCTTTGTGCGGAAGCCAAGATCAGCAGGGCTGTGGCCAATGGCCTTGTCAATCCAGGGTTTGGTCCGTCTTGGCACGTTGGTGTGGAGAAGCCCTCCTGCTGTGGTCTGGCCAGGAGGGGCAGCATGGAGACCAAGCTGAAAGAAGCTCTGAGCCTGGGGAACCCCATTTTAAAAGGACCATGGACCGATGTGCTACCTACAGACACTCTAACAAGCACTTCCCCATAAGACATAGATACAAGCAGTGGGTGTGGAGACATTCCAGAAGGCTGGTTCACAATGAGGAAGCCGCATCCAGAGCAGGACTTTTCCAGCAGGTCTGGAGAGCAAGTTGGCAGGCGGCATTCTTTGCAAGATGGGCTTGAGGGACATTCCTTGAATTTGGGTGGGAATTCCAGATCAGAGAAAGATGCATCTTACCAAGAAGCAATGCCAGGGGTGTGACTCTGAACGTACAGCAATGGAGGGCTGACAGGAGCTCAGGTGCCCAAATTTATTTTTCTTTTAATGTGTGCTCCAGCGGCATAGGATCTTCCAGAACAAGCCCAATGCGCAGAATCTGGTTTGTAGTCAACTCACTATATGCATATGCATGGGAAGGAGGCAGGAAGGACGGTTGGATGGATGGGTGGGTGAGTGGGTAGGTGGGTGAATGGATGGATGGGTGGGTGGGGAGATGGATGAATGATGGATGGGCAGATACATGGAGAGATGGTGGAAGGAGTAGACGGAAGGATGGGTGGAAGAATAGACGAAGGGAGAGACAGGTAGGTAGAGGGAGGGATGAAAGGAGAGGTGGAGGGATAGATGGGTGGGTGAACATTGTCCCTAGAGAGAAGTAAGATTTGTACTCAACAGTCTATGGCCAAATGGTCCCTCGTTGGTGACTCTGGGTGACCAGCTTCGTGATCTGCGGCTTCTATTAAGAGCTTGGCCTGGCCGTCCCCCTTCCAGGGTCACTTTCTGTCTTCGTTTCTAGAGCGGCCAGAATGCAAGGCGAGGGGCTTTGAAGAGCAGAAATAGATTGCAGCCCAGTCCTGGAGGCCAGAAATCCACATCAGGGACCGTGCCATGCCCTTGTCCTGTCTCGTGGTTTCCGGCACTCCTCAGCACCGCTCTGTGGCTTGTGGTAGTTTCACATGGCTCCTCCCCCAGCGTGTGCCTCCTTTTCTCTGTCTGTCCTCCCCTTTGACCAGTAGCTGGGCAGAAGGGATTAGCATCAGAACCCACCCTGCTCCACTGTAGCTTCACTAAGGGGCCACATCTTCAAAGAGAGACAGACTGTGCTTCCACAAACCTTCACTAGTAGAAGGGCCAGGTCTCTAACAAGTTGTTGTGGTTTCTTTTGGCAGGGGGGACACCATTCAATGGGAAAACCCTGCCCTTCTCACATGGGAATGCTGCTCCCACGAGTCTGTTGACCCCCATTTCCAGGCCAGAAGCCCTTGCTTGTCTTCATGATAGAGGTTGGCACCGTTTCTCACCAGAACCTGGTTTCCTCTCCTGCAGGGAAGAGTGCCACATACCGAGGGTGCTTCCGACTGCCAGAGAATGCTTCACACGCCTTCCCCGACTCCCTGATACAGGCCAACGTGACCGTGGACACGTGTGCGGGCTTCTGTTCCCAGAACGTAAGAGCGGTGACCGTTGCAAACCCCTTTCTGAAGCCGTCTCGTGTGGGCAGTGACCCCAGGGGAAGGAGCAGGTGCCAAGGCGGGCTGCACGTGCCCGTACCCCAGCCCAGAGGGCTTGGCCACACCCCAGACAGTCAGTGGCTGCTGGGAGGGAGCCTGCAGCTGGCATTGGGGCTTTGAGGCTGGGTGGGGAGTTGT